AGCATTTAGACGGTCAGCTGATCGTCCGATAACCATCTCTTTTAGGGACGATTTTAATAAGTTGGCATGGCTGGTGGATCACCCTAGGCCTATACTTAAGATTGAATAGAATTTGAAAACAAACGATTTAAATTATTTAAATCGTAGCTAAAATAAAACTATTTTATTCGATTAAATCGTTTTTTTTAAATACTCGTCTTTTCGTGTAAAAACCGTCTTGGGACCGTCTTCGAGCGTTTTAAGACCGTCCCATGGCCGTCCCATGGCCGTCCCATGGCCGTCCCATGGCCGTCCCTGAGCTTAAAACCGTCCCTGAGAACTTGAATTAGTAAGCAAATACTCTTTTTATTGCTTGCTAGTTTGCCCTTCACTACCTTGACCACTAAGTACCACCCCCTCTCATACCACTACCCCCTCATTGCGAAGGCTGCACTTGCGAAGGCTGCAAGGGCGCTCATGATGTGCGGGTGAACTTTTGCTAAATCGATCGATTTCGATGATAAAAAAATTAAAGCGTTGATATACAAGCCGTGGTAGCGATACCGAGAAATATCTTGGCGTCGAACTTCTTAAATTATTATCAAAACAATTTTATTTAAAAGATAATTTTTATCTATAACTATATCTTCTTTAAAATAGTCATCGAACTATTTCAATTTTTTAAAACGAGCTTATTAATAAATCTATTTTAAAAATATAGACGGGGACGGCTATGGGACGGCCACAAAACGGTCTCTTTCAATGGGACGGTCTTCTCGGCAAACTATTATTGAAAAGAGCTTAGTACTGAATTTAAGCGGTCTAATAACCGTCTTTTATAAAAGAGGGTCAGAGGACCGTTCAAATGACCCCCTACTACCCTTTATGGTACTCCACACAGCAAGCAGGCTCGTAAAAGTCACTACCAGTACCTATTCCTGTGGTGCAATCCCGTAATTCACTCACCCCTTCGCTTCTCCCTTCTCTCTTCCCACACACACACCCCAAAAAAAATTGTCTGTTGTATATATGCCAACTCTGCCCCAACTTCCATCAACTGCGAGGAATGGCATGGTGGTTTAGTGGCTATGAGCCGCTGGCCGCTTCCAAGTACACCTGTTGATACCAACGAAAAACCTATTCAGTTAGGTTTGTAGACTGGAACCCCATACCATCATACCTACTTATGAATTGGGTTTCCAGTTGATTTTTGCTAAAATTCCGTATTTTTTGTATTTTCTTTGTTGGTTGGGGTGAGGGGACGGGGGTTCCTTTTATATTCTGTCTGATCCACTATCTCCGATCCCACATCTATTTAAGTATCCACCAGAAGGAGGGGAAGCTTTGACGTCCAATCCCTAGAGCCACACAGTCACCCATTCCCGGTAGACAGACCAGACCACTTAACACGACAACGGCCAGCGTGGATGCTTAACCCAACATCAGATTCTCGCTATGGCCGTTCGATTTTCTGATGGTGATTGCAGGACAAGACCAACATAAGCTCTTTAGATTTCATGGCATGCATCTTGCCTCTTGCCGCTTGCCTCTTGCCTCTTGCCTCTTGCTTGCATCTTGCATCTTGCATCTTGCATCTCTACGGAGTAACCTGTCCCTGGAGACCGTAAGTCATGTGACACGGGAAGACCCTTGTTCGGGTGCGGGTGTTGGCACATCAGGTTGCGTCAATTGCGTCAATTTCCCCACCACAAGCGCGGATTGCTCAAGGTGAAGCTGAAGGAAGCTCAAGGAACAGAAAGGAGTGGGTAGAGCAGATCCGAGTGGTGTTTGCGTACGTGAGGGCCGTAAAATACCGGTGGGCAGGTAATAAGCTGGCGGGTGTACGGTTCAGGATGGATTAATGGCACCGTGGCTAGATACAGACAGGCAGATCATGAACGATCATGGGAATTCTACAATTATCCAGCTCTTTCCGTCTCTTCTCTTCTCTTCACTTCTCTCTTCTACTGTGACATCAACGTGGAGGGGTGCAAAGCCCAGGTGGGGCGGGGCAGAACTTTTTTTTCCTGGGCGGTGAGCTGAGAGGGCCGGCATACACAAGAATGTCAACAAACACCTCTTATCACAAAATTGCTTTCTCATCTCGCAAGATAGGTAGGAATAGGATTTGGAGGAGCCAGGCAGCTGTAGAGGAATCGTCTGGACCGTTCGTGATATTGCTAGAAGTTTGTGACAGCGGAATTCCCGCAAGTGAAGTCCATAGAAGACACTGGAAGTGGCCGGCTCTCTGGGGAACATTCGAGAATCGCAGGAAGAAGCTAAGCGAATCAAGCGCGGCCCGCCGTATAAGAAATCTCGCTGCCCTCCACCCTCCTCTTCTTCTCTCTTCATACCACAATATCACACTCTCAAGTCTTCGCACCACACACCTGCAAAGCATCTCCGAAATCCTGACTCTCATACACTTCTCTCTTCTCTCTTCTCTACACACACTCACACCGCCATCATGGGTCCCGCAATTGGTAACTACCCCTCCATCCGCTGTCTCCAGGACGAGGCTCTTGCTAACACAATACCTGCAATAGGAATCGATCTTGGTACCACCTACTCCTGCGTGGGTATCTTCAGAGATGACCGTATTGAAATTATTGCCAACGACCAGGGCAACCGCACAACTCCTTCCTTCGTCGCCTTCACGGATACCGAACGTTTGATTGGAGATGCAGCAAAGAACCAAGTCGCCATGAACCCGCATAACACAGTCTTCGACGCAAAGCGCCTCATCGGACGCAAGTTCGCTGATGCTGAGGTTCAGGCTGATATGAAGCACTTCCCTTTCTCCGTCATCGACCGTGCTGGCAAGCCCGTCGTTGAGGTTGAGTTCAAGGGTGAGAAGAAGCAGTTCACACCCGAGGAGATTTCGTCCATGATCTTGGTCAAGATGCGCGAGACCGCCGAGTCGTACTTAGGAGGAACCGTCAACAACGCTGTCGTCACAGTCCCTGCGTACTTCACCGACTCGCAACGTCAAGCTACCAAGGACGCTGGCCTGATCGCCGGCCTCAACGTTCTTCGCATCATCAACGAGCCTACCGCAGCTGCCATTGCCTACGGTCTTGACAAGAAGGTCGAGGGCGAGCGCAACGTTCTCATCTTCGATTTGGGCGGAGGAACTTTCGATGTTTCTCTGCTTACCATTGAGGAGGGTATCTTCGAGGTCAAGTCTACCGCCGGTGACACTCACTTGGGAGGTGAGGACTTTGACAACCGATTGGTTAACCACTTCGTGCAAGAATTCAAACGCAAAAATAAGAAGGGTGAGTACATTTAATTTTTAAACCTCTTCTCATTTTCTTCCGACAATGTCCTATGTAGGATTTGTGACATTCAAATGTCCATTGTCCCGGCTAGGTTTTGTGACATTTAAATGTCCAATGTCCCGAGCTAGGATTCGCGACAATGAGAATCCGACAACGTCGGATTCAATCCGGGCAGGTTTCAACCTCCCCTCTCAACCTATCTCCACACAATCGGGTACCTTGGATAGTATGAATAGTTGCTAACGTTTTTCCACCCAGACCTGTCCACCAACGCCCGTGCCCTCCGTCGTCTCCGCACTGCTTGCGAGCGTGCGAAGCGTACTCTTTCTTCTTCCGCCCAGACCTCCATCGAAATCGACTCGCTGTTCGAGGGTATTGACTACTACACATCCATCACCCGTGCTCGATTCGAGGAGCTCTGTCAGGACCTCTTCCGTTCTACCACCACCCCAGTTGACCGTGTCCTCGCCGATGCCAAGATTGACAAGTCCAAGGTCCACGAGATCGTCCTTGTCGGTGGTTCTACCCGTATCCCCCGTATTCAGAAGTTGATCACCGATTACTTCAACGGAAAGGAGCCCAACAAGTCCATCAACCCCGATGAGGCTGTTGCCTACGGTGCTGCCGTCCAGGCTGCGATTCTCTCCGGTGACACTTCCTCCAAGTCCACCAACGAGATCCTCCTCCTCGATGTTGCGCCATTGTCCCTTGGTATTGAGACTGCCGGTGGCCAGATGACCAAGCTCATCCCCAGAAACACTACCATCCCCACGAAGAAGAGCGAAGTCTTCTCTACCTTCTCCGACAACCAACCCGGTGTCCTCATCCAAGTATACGAGGGTGAGCGTCAACGCACCAAGGTTAGTGGTTATCTAATAGCATGTTCCTGATTTTCGTGTTGCTAACATCATACCCCAGGACAACAACCTTTTGGGCAAGTTTGAGCTCACTGGTATCCCCCCTGCGCCTCGTGGTGTTCCCCAGATCGAGGTTACTTTCGATCTTGATGCCAACGGAATCATGAACGTCTCTGCTCTTGAGAAGGGTACTGGAAAGTCCAACAAGATTGTCATCACCAACGACAAGGGCCGTCTTTCCAAGGAGGACATCGAGCGCATGTTGTCCGAGGCCGAGAAGTACAAGGCTGAGGATGAGGCCGAAGCTGGACGCATCGGCGCCAAGAACGGTCTTGAGTCGTACGCTTACTCCCTCCGAAATACTCTCTCCGACTCCAAGGTCGACGAGAAGCTTGACGCTGCCGACAAGGAGAAACTCAAGGCTGAGATTGACAAGACCGTCGCATGGTTGGATGACTCTCAACAAGCCACCAAGGAGGAGTACGAGGAACACCAGAAGGAACTCGAGGCCGTGGCCAACCCCATCATGATGAAATTCTACGGAGCTGGTGGCGAGGGAGGTGGTATGCCAGGTGGCATGCCAGGCGGTCCAGGAGGATTCCCAGGTGCCGGAGGCCCCGGTGCAACACATGATGATGGACCGACTGTGGAAGAGGTTGACTAGATTGCTTCTCACGAATCTCTTTGGTTGTTTTTCACTTTGGGCATCATGTCATGGAGACAAAATCGCACATGGCGCGGTGTCTAGCGGGCTTCTTTTATGGTTAGACTTGTTGCGGGTTTGCGTTTCTTTTCTGCGACCAATACACTGGAAAAACTGGTGGGTGCTGCATAATGAATATCTTCGCTGGTAGCTACACAGAGGTAGCATAAAATTGAAAAGTCCTAAATTTACTTGTCTTCTTTGAGCGTGGTACAACGAAATCTTTGCCTCTCCCCATCCCATCTGCCACGAACAATGTGAGATGGTGATATGATTGCTTCCCCTAGCCTGTCCCCCTGGCAATCATGGAATCTCTCCCCCCGAGCCCTTGGGCATCTTCTTTCTTGACTGGTTGTTCCTTACACCAGCGACGAAGGGCAGGTAAATACGCTACTAGCGATAAAAAGCAAGGCAGAATCGTCTGATGTCTTGGGATAGCAGATAAGGTAAGGGTTGGTTGGCATGTCACAAAGACCAACAGTACGGTAGTCAGTCAATTGGGACAGATCATGGCGGGGGAGGGGGGTTCCATCTAGTATGGTGATGCAATACAAAAAAAAAAAAGAAGAAACACCAGTAGAGTAGTCTAGGTACATCCTGCCCCTGAATATCCGAATCAAATTATCAGCGCCAGATACATTGCCCTCTCCGTATATCAGGCGAAGCTTGCGAAGGGATAGATCGAAATCCAACTGTTGCCCGATCACCTACCCTACACTAAACACACTTCTGTTGAAACGGTCATTTTTTCGACCCGTCTAAAAGTAGTACGGAGTAAAACGTTTGACGTTGAGTATATATATAGCCGTTGGTGGCGATTTCCCCACTACTCCGTACGTAGGATGTCATTGAAGATCATCTGTCTTGGAAACTTTGAAGATCGTCAGTCTTCGAAACGCCTTTTCCTGTATAGAACCTACCTATCTACTATCCGGAGATCGCTTGTACTATTTAAAGACAGGTTTCAAGAGACTACTCTAAAGTGAATGCCGCTTTGTATCGTGATTTATTTTTTTCTTTTTTTCATGCGGTCTATACAATCAGCTTATACAATTCTAACGATTGCTAGAAACCTTACTGTTGCTCAATCATTATCGGCCACTACGGTATTGTTGGTCCTAACTTTGGTCACATTTTTTTTCTTTCGAGTAGCTCCTCTTAGCGCGATAGCAGACCTTTTTATCTCTAACGAAGCTCTCGATGCTTTGCTGACTTCGAAAGATGGCGTATCTGAGGACCTTGGATTCGGACTTGAGTGTCGATACAGATCCTTTTTGCAGGCCTCGCAAGAAAAGCCCCAATCGGTCAAAGGCTGGAATCAATTCCGCAGGCTGCGCGCTTCTCAAGATACGACTACCAACCAACCTATACACGAGCGGTAGGAATGAAAGTGTCCTACTAGCGAGAAATCGTATGTGCGATACATATGCTCTCTCAAGGATAACGGGTGTCCGTGACCTTATTCGCTATCTTATTATTTTAACGTTAATTCGCGATTTATTAACAAATTGACTTTGCGAATAGCTTCAGTTCGGCCTTTACGATTGGCTAAGCTTTTTTACTTTAAGGCCAACTTCAGGGGCTAGCGTACACAAGAGTTCCTGAGACTAAAAAGTCTCAGGTGTTAAGTAAGACATGCGAAAACAGACTCTGCTAATGTCGAGGCATGGGAAACTATCGGCGACTGACGTTGGGACGGTCCTGGGGATGGACGGCTTTTTCAAATTTCCATTGGGGACGGTTTTATTCCAAATCAACACTACGGCCATAGGAGAGCCAGAGTCGAGCGGTCTGAGGTCCTGAGACAAAGCACATCAGATACAGTGGTCAGGTCAACATCTGGTGGCTGTTTTTGCGTTTTATTTTGGGAATAAGTTTCGGACCAGACCGACGCACCTACCGTCCGTTTGATCCCCATACTTAAATCTCGCCTTCTCCGCAACCCTTTTTGACAACCCCGAAAGTAAACCAACCTGTCCCTTATCAACTCTTCCACAGCTCACTACCATCAACGCCAGCGAAGGAAACACACCGAGCAAAGCAGCCCTCCATCACTACCCATCACTACCCATCATCCAACCATGTCTATCAAATCCGTCCACCCTGTCACCAAGACCCCTTACGCCCAGCGGGCAGAAACCGCTCAGCACCCGCTCTCCTCGTACCTGCTCCGCCTCATGGCTCTCAAGCGCTCCAACCTCTGCCTCAGCGCCGATGTTTCCACGACGAACCAGCTGCTCAGTCTCGCCAATGCTGTCGGGCCCTCCATCGTCGTCCTGAAGACACACTACGACCTCGTCGCGAACTGGGACTACCACCCGACGAGCGGCACGGGTGCACGCCTTGCACGTCTCGCACGCAAGCACGGCTTCCTCATCTTCGAGGACCGCAAGTTCGGGGACATCGGCCACACCGTGCAGCTGCAGTACACGGAGGGCACGGCCAAGATCATCGAGTGGGCTCACATCACCAATGTGAACATGGTGCCCGGGAAGGCGGCCGTGGACGCCCTGTCCGACGCGGCGGTGCGCTGGAAGGAGCGCAAGCGCTACGAGGTCAAGACGGACATCTCGGCCGGCGCGCCGGATCCCGAGGGAATGGATTCGGACGGCGAGGAGAACGATACCGTCACCCCCATGACGGACGAGGGCCTGCAGTACGCCGCTACGGTGGGCCGCAAGGCGAGTATCGTGTCCGTCACGACGGTGTCGCAGCACTTTGAGCCGGCCAACTCCCCGCGGACGTACGAGGGCTTTGCGGCGGAAGACCAGGTGCTGGAGGGTATCGAGGAGGCGCCTATGGATCGGGGCCTGCTGATCCTGGCGCAGATGAGCTCGCAGGGCAATTTCATGACCAAGGAGTACACGGATGCTTGTGTGGAGAGCGCGAGGGAACACAAGGGCTTCGTGATGGGCTTCATCTCGCAGGAGAGTCTGAACACGGAGAAGGGAGATGCTTTTATAACTATGACCCCCGGCTGCCAGCTGCCGTCCGATTTCGAGGACGACGATGCAGAAGTCAAGGGCGATGGGATGGGGCAGCAGTACAACACTCCGCAGAAGCTGATTGGCACGATGGGTAACGACATTGTGATTGTGGGCCGGGGGATTATCAAAGCCGACGACCCTGTCCGCGAGGCGGAGCGGTATAGGAAGAAGGCCTGGCAGGCATACGAGGAGAGAATCGCGGCTTGAACTTATGCGTTATGGGAAATGTCATGGAACGGAAACTGAATGGGAGCTTTGGAGTTTTTGTCGGGCAACGGAGGAAGCCATCGCGGCAATTCTCCATGAAATGGAACGAGCGAGCAATCGGAAACGGATACCCTGGAAGGAAGGGCCAAAAGTGGTTGCCTTTTACCTCTTTTGAACATATCAGATATTGCAAGGATCCATGTCTGACCAGGCTTGGGGTTTTTAGATGTGCAGGTGCATCTATCTGTATGTTTTAAACTGCGAAGGATAGAAGAATGGTAAATAGAGGATTGAACTTCCAACTCTTTTCTCTGTAAGCGAACGAATGCTCTTCCTATGGAATGGGCGGGGCAGGTGGCTGGAGGGTTTATATGGTCTATAGCAGAAGTCCAAAGTCTGTAAGTGATACTACACTTAAGCGGATTAAACAGCTGACTCCAGGGCATACACACACACACCGGTACAGATTCGCAGGCTCGCACAGCGAGAAGACATACCAATGCCGGTACCCAAAGTACACAGTCTCCATCCTCTCACCAAGATACCAACCAACAGTATTGTCCATCGTTATCATCATCATCATCATCATCATCATTACTACTCGTGGTAAAACTACCCACCACCCAAGAATTGCCCAAAGATAGCTAGCTAGCTACCTACTTACCTACCTAGGAAAGACGCGTCCGCCCTTATACACACACCTCTGTCAACTTATCAACACCTCGGTGAGATAGCAATAACAAATCCAAGAGCATATTTCCAGATCCAGATCCAGACCCAGTCCCAGACTAACAACAGCTCCGTTCTGTCATGGTGTCCAAATCCAAATCCAAATCCAGATTCAAAAAAAAAAAAAAACCTTACCTTCCTTACCCACCTACCTACTCCAATACACCTCCTACCCACCCACTTCAATAAAAGATAGATAGGAACCTAATGAATCAAGCATAGCAGAAAACCCCCTCCCCCCCCAAAAAAAAGAAGAAGAAAAAAGAATGGCAGGAATTTAAATCCTTTGGTCGTGAAGGTGTTTTTATAGGGGAATTCCGTCCGCACTTCTCCAATTGGCGAAGAAACCTAGAGTACGGATGCGTGTAGTACCGGTAGCTAGGCTGCTTCAAGCTTCACCAGCCATCATAGTCCATAAACCTCTCCCCTTTCTTCCTTCTTATCTTGAAGGGCTTCTGCGAAACCTTCGGCAAGGAGGAAGGAGAGAAGGAAAGGAGAGAAGGAAAGAATGAAAGAAGGGAAGAAAGAAAGAAAGATGAGCAAGCAAAAGGGGATAAATACGAAATACATAAACAAAGTAGAATGAATGTGGTGAGTGGGTGGGTACCTACTAGTCAACTACAACCGAAACCGGGAACATCCGTTATTTTCTACCGCTTCAAGGGAATCATTAATCAGCCCATGTACCGTCGTCGAGAGTCGAGAGACTTTCGAGTCGGAAAAAGCAGGCTGTCGACCATCTGATTTTTAATTCGTAAAATTGAGCTGGGTATACATGAAATCGTCCTATCTTCACCGGGTATCATTTCACCCCCCCTGCCCAACATATACGTCGCCCCTCGCTCTTAATACTCATCCATGAGCACCTTCTTCAATCCCGCCATCTCCTTCTCCCACGCCTCAATCTTCACCTGACTAGCCGCCAGCTTCCCTAACAGATACTGCACCCTTGGTCCCACCTCGCGCGGCTGCTTCGGCAGCGTGCCAATCAGAGCCAGCTCAGTCTCGTACTTGTCCAGGCTTTTCGTCTCGATCTTCGTCAGCTCGGTGAGAATCGCGAGGTCGAGGCGGCTTTTCAGCACTCTGTCTTCGGCCAAGATCTTGAAGGCTGCTTCGTAGATGGGCTTTCCAGCTTTCACGGTCTGCGGGCGCCCTTTGTAGGATTTGATGGTAATTAGTTCCGCGGCGGAGAGGGCTTCGAGGACGCTCTCTCCATTTGAGGCAAATGCATTCAAGGAGGAAGTGAATGTGTTACTGAGCAGAACTTCGTTGTAGCGCAGGCTGTCGTTTTCGGCGAGGCTTTTAATGAGGTACCAGGCTTGTTCTGGGGACCACTTTCGCTCAGCCTTGTCGACGGTCAGGAGGTACATCTTCATGATCTCGGAAGCGCTTTGCTCGATCATTTCGGCGATGGCACGTTTTGGTGTTTGCCCGGTTTTGAGCCTTCGAGCAAGGAACTCCAGATCGGTGAGTCTGCCGCCGACTGCTGCGATAGCCCCATCTAGCTCATCAAGGTCGTGATAGCGTTGACGTGGAGTCAGCTTTACAGAAGTACCGGATGGGTCATTCTGGTCCGAGTCCAGATGGGTGATCACAAATCGCTTAGCAACTTCAGGTGTGATATCGCCTAAAGCAAGCTGGCGAAAAACTCTGTCCGGTAGAGCTTTGCTGAGCGATTTCGAGTAGGAGATATCGTTGGTGAGGAAGATGACGTGTGCAATGTTGGCAGTTGTAAGACCCGCAGCCCATTCCGAGATCTTGTCGTACACCACACTACTCTCCTCGTTCTTGTGCAGAAAGTTGTCGATTACAACGACCGGTCTGCATTCAGGATGTGCTTCGAGCCAGTCGTCGTCCGCCAAAGTAGCGTCCTTGTCGTCCTTGTGTCGATTCTGGAGAGCTACCTGCTTCAGAGCAATTGCTGTATTCTGCCAAATTTTGCTTAGTTGGGCGTCTAGAGTCTCACTAAATCCAGACTTGACACCTATAGTGCCCTGAGCGGCAAGGTCGACCAGACTGCTGAGACTGTTCATCCAGGAGAAGACGGGTCGGTAACCCACTGAAGCTGCGGCAGCAGAGATCGTTGCACTGTCGCCTCGAGCTTCTTGAATGGGCTTGCAGTCGATCAGGACGGTGTTCTTCCGACCTTTCAAAGCTTGGTCTAAGATCAGCTCCTTCTTACCCGAGCCTCTTGGTCCTTGCACAACGATGAACGTATCTGCTGTCTCCATGAGCCAAGTCTGCAATTGATCGATGATCTGTTTCCTGTCTCCCCAAAGAACATCAAGACTAGCTTCTTCAGCTCTGTGGCTGCGGAAAGTGAAGATATCCGTCGCCTGACTCTTGAACCACTGGTATACCCTGCTATCCTTTAAATCGAAAGAATGCTCGATGTGTGCCTTGATAAAGAACGTCCGAATAGGATCGAAGATCGCGACAGTGATCGTGGCAACAAGCGCAGCAAAAGCTGGGATAACGATCCTGGGATGGCTCATGAGCCAATCCCAGATCCAGTGGGCTTTCCTCCTCTGCTCAAAAGAGAGACGGAGCTGCGTACCAGCTGCACCACCTCCTTCAGTCTCCAATACCTTCAGCCCATGCATACAATTCCTAGCCATGATAGCATGTCTCAACCTTGCAAAGTCTAAATATGCGTATTTTGGGAGGATCTTGGAATCCGATGGTTGAGGACTTATCTCCGCCAGCTTTCCGTATTTTCGGAACAGACTGTACAGTGTCTCTTGCGACAACTCGGCCGCCTCTCCCCCAGGACTCGTGGGTACGAATTCCACCTTCATTCTAGAGCTCGGGAAGCGGTATAGATCCTCCAACCACGGCTTCCCCACTACCAGGTTTGCACGGATTCGTCTGAAAGGATTGAACCACGGTTTTACAGGCTTCTCTCTTAGATATTGCCGAACGAGGCCTTCAACCTCTTTTGCAGTGATCCCATCCGGATACGAGAATTTGACAAATGCACCGCCATCTTTAAGTCGTGGGAGGATCTCTGTAACTTTCATGGGGACCGAGCTTGGAATAGCTCGTTTGACGAGAGCCACTGGTTCGAAAGTTCCGAGGCTGGAAGTGTTAAAGCGAGTCAGGAGCTCGGGGAGACTTTGTTCGGACTTCCATGGCAATCGCAGGGCCCAGTTCAGCTTCAAAGGGAAAATGTCTAAAGGTATTAGCTTGAATCTGTCAATGAGCAAAAGGACTTACTATCGAAGAACAGGATGCCTTCATTAGATCCAGCGGCGATATGCCCTGTTTGATCCTCTCCAGTATCCGTACTCTCCCTTCGGACCCCTCCTGTAAACTTCGCATCCTTTCTTAGCCCTGTTCTGGGCGTGAACCCAGCATTGTAGAAATCGCGTCGGACGGGTTTCTGCGACCTTAAGCCAGGGATACTGGTCGGGTTGAAGTAGATGCGCCGTGAAGACTGCATTTTCACATTGATTCACTGCTGTGGTAGCAGATACATTTTGATGTTCCCGAGGATTGTTTGAATGTCCCAAGGAGCCACAGGAAGGAGGTACAAGACAATAAAGCTACCTTGGATATCCAGCTGAGAGAGCGGAGACGTCATAAGGCTGAACCAAGCATTCTTGGCAGGGCGAGAAGCTATCCCCGGCCTCGTCTCTCAGAAATCTCAGCCTCATCCCCAACATCCCCAACATCAATCGAATCTTCACGATGGGCTGGCTCTGGTCAACCGTAGACTCTGCTCCGAAAGAAAACAATACCCAAACACCACCTCAATCAACTCCTCAACCACCCACCTCTCAAAACAACACACCTCCCCCTCAAGCCCTCTCTCGAGACGACCTCGCCGAACAAGAACTCAACTCCTTCCTCAAGGAAATCAACGCCGACACCCAAGCACCCAGCGGCAAGAAATACACCCGCGTCGGCCGCTCCTCTCAAAATGACGAGTTCTCCTCCACACCCTCCTCCTCCTCCTCCTCTGAATCCGAACCCCTGAGCTCTCAGCTGCTGCCCATAACCATGTCCTGCCGCGCCGCCTTCGACCAGGCCTTCTACTGCAACTCCTTCGGCGGCCGCTGGAACGACCTCTACCGCTACGGCACCCTGCGCTCCTGCTCCGACGACTGGGGCGACTTCTGGTTCTGCATGCGCACGCGCACCTACCCGCGCGACCAGAAGGCCGCCGCCATCAAGGAGCACTACCGTGAGCGCGAGCGGCTGAAGTACGCCAAGGAGCTGGGCCGGGAGAGCAGCGAGGACGTGTGGAGGAGCAGGGAGCGCAAGGTCGAGCTGGGCACGGCATTCACGAAGCGCTTTGAGGACTTTGGGGGCACCGATGAGGAGTGGAGGGCAAGGGAGATGGAGAGGAGGAGGGAAGTCGATGGGAGTATGGGATAAGGAGGCTTGGCTGTACCAATAATGAATGTAGGGGACATATACGTTGAATTATATGCTACAGGACATACAAAGTCATCAGAGATATAGGAATGTATCACCACTTTGATTGAAGCTGGTAAGTTTCAGGTTCGCTTTTCCCAACTGTACATTGGGGTCAAAATCTCCAATTGATGCTGTCTTCTGTCTGTAAACAGAAGGCCCGAATTTATCATACACTTTGTTTCCAAATAGACTCCTTTAGTTCTTCCATTTTAACAGGGTGTTCCTGAATGGAAAACAAACCCCTCCACCTGCGCCAGTCCCCAGCCACCCGAAAACCGCTTCAGAAGCGCCTCGCCATGCGAAAGCCTTAAATGCAAGACCGTGAACGCCAAAAGGCATTTCCATCCAACTTATGCCCATCGTAACCATCATCGCTCGCTCCAGCCCAATCAAACGCCATTTCAAATGTACACCTGTCTTACATACCCATCCCGTTGTGCATCCCGTTCATGTTTTGCTGCATCCCACCTTGAGCTGCCATCATCGCCTGCTGATGCTGTGCTCGTCGAGCCTGAAATTGACGCTGGACAGTAGCAGTAGCGGTTTGCTGACATGTTGCCCTGAGAGATCTATCTATTTCTTCAGGGATGGCGCCATTGGCGTATTGCGCTGCAACCTTTGGTCTTTGTTGCGAGTACATCGCGCTTGCAGTGGCCATCACTTGCTGCTGGAATAACTGCTGTTGTGCGGCTTGATGTTGCTGCTGTTGAGGATTGAGCGGCTGTTGCTGCTGTTGAGCTGCCTGCTGAGCCGCCTGCTGTTGTTGTTGCCGCATCATTTGAGCCGCCATATATTGCTGACTATTCATTTGCTGACCACCCATAGCCTGGGCCTGTGCTTGGACCTGAGCCTGCTGACGCATTTGTTGCATCTGCTGCATTTGCTGCATCGTCATCTGGGGCATACCAGTCATCGCCTGCTGGCCATTCATCATGTTCTGATTCATGTTCGGCCCGAGACCTCCTGAGCGTTGAGCAATAGCCGCCATTTGTGCACCGTAGGCTTGTTGAAGATTGGGACCAGCATTTTGCTGAGCAGCTTGCGCCTGCTGCTGATTTCGCATCATCACAGCTATTCTTTGTTGCTGTTGCATAACTTGCGCCTGCTGGGAGTTCACTTGCATTTGCTGACCATTCATCATTGGAACCTGCATTGTTGCCATCGATCCTTGCATCGGGCTACCTTGGCTCATCCGAGGCGTCTGGCTCATTGGGCGATTAAGAGGCGTAGACTGGATATTGGGAGTAGCTACCGGCATGCGAGGTGTCCCAGCATGACTCTGCTGACTTCGTTGCGCAACCATGCCGTGAGCTCCCGGACCCATCTGAGGATGATTTTGATGGACGACGGATCCCGGTCGAGCAGGGCTGCCACCCATGCTTGAGGTGGAGTGCTGCATGGGAACATTCCCCATATTGTTTACCACCGGTGACGAATGGTTTTGAGGTGTACCATTGCGGACAATCGGAGACGAGGCTTGAGTCTGAGATACCTGTTGTTGATGGAATCGTTGCGGCTGAGCTGCGATGCCATTCGCCTGGGGGTGGCCGTGAGGATTCTGCACCTGTCCACTTTGTTGAAGATGGGGGGTGCCTTGCCCACCCTGCTGAGCCTGCTGAGCCTGCTGAGCCTGCTGAGCCTGCTGGGCCTGCTGGGCCTGCTGGGCCTGCTGAGCCTGCTGGGCCTGCTGAGCCTGCTGGGCCTGCTGAGCCTGCTGAGCCTGCTGAGCCTGCTGGGCCTGCTGGGCCTGCACCGTTTGCTGTGCCGCCTGGCGTCGTCTGGCTGCCTCTTGGCCGAGTTGGTGAGCCATGTGCTGTTGGTGCAATGAAGCCGTCCGTTGTTTCTCTTGCTCCCGTTTCTCAGCGTCATCTCGGAGCTTGTTGCGCTCTTGATCTTGCTTGCTCTTCCTTTCTGCTTCTTCTCGTCGCTGCTTGTCTGCTCTCTTGGTTTCCTCATGCTGAGTTCGGATATTCTCCAAAGTCTTGAATCTTTCGAATCGCGGCTCAAAGGAAGCACCACCTACTTGACCGTCACCATTTGCCGGGTTCGAGCCACCCTGTGCCCCAGGAGTACTCGGAATGACTCTTTCGTCGAAACTGAGCATATGTCGTTCTTGGTCTGCTGCTTGCGCCTCATCTGCGGCCATTTCTGCAACAGTCCTCTTTCGAGTCTTTGGTGCAGGAGGCGCTTCTGAGTGCATTGGGTGGGACATTGCTTCTAGCAGAGCGGCAGCCTCTCTTACACTATGTATCGGTTCCAGCATGAGCGGCGCAGTAGTGGCAAGGGTGATTTGCGCCTCTAACGAGTAGAGATTGCTCGTGGTGAGACCCGCATGTGATTTCTTCAAGCGTTTCGCAGGATGAGCCATACTGCTAGTCTGTAGGTTTGAAGAAATGGCTGTCGTGGGAGTTGGTGGAACAGTTACAGACAGTGAGCCATTAATCTCCTGACGAGATTCCTTCCGGCCATCGCTACTTGAGAGGGCCTCAGCGGCTCGAAGGGCAAGTTCGGTATGTCTGCTCAGGGGCGTTGGTCGAAGGACAATTGTACTTATCTTGGGCTTCGTGGGAAGCGACGCAGTGTGAGCTCCATTGGGTAGAGCGGGAGCTGGCATGTTCTCCTTATCCTTTTGTGTAGAGGGACTCTTTGTATCGGCATCAGCCCTGGCCTTGGCTGGCGCCGCAGTCTCCATCGGAAACGATACGTAGGAGGATGGGGTGAGGTAGGCATTATAGTTGTGTATAGAAAATGGGACGCTTTTTCTAAGTTCGGATTTTGGTCGATCCGAATTCTGTGAGGGGGCAATGGACTTGTGGTCGTGTATTTGTACAATCATGCAGTCTTCATAGTACTCTATATTCGGCATGAACTCGAGCAGGTCATGAGGGATTGTTCGGGAACGTAAATGCTCAATGACAATTCTCATGGGCGACTTGTACGTGAAGCTACCCTCCTGTTGGTCGAATCGAAAATGGTTTGGATATAGATGGATGATCAGAGATGGTGGTTTGCCTCGATACCTCCTCAGAATATACTCGTCCGATTTGACTGAGAGGTTAGCAGCCATCCTCCCATGTAATACGTAGAACCCAACGTACAAAATGGTTGCGGCTCGGCATTCTGGCCGATGGTGAAATCCATTATACCGCCAGATCGCAAGCCGACGCTGCTATTCCTTTGTCCTCTGCCGGGGACCTGGGAGGGCGCATCACGTTTATTCCGGTTGGCAGACTTCGGCCCTGAACTACTTCCTGTTCCGTTGCTTGTCGCAGAGTTTGGCGGGTATTTGGCGGCAGAGGGAAGTCGGCTGGCGGCCATCGAGGGGGAGGGGGAGGAGGTCGAGGAGTGGATGCCATTGGTCTGGATGCCTGGGGGCACTGGGCGCTTGAATTTAGAGGTTTGCGACTGAGCAGTCGCCGTTACTGAGGTCGGCGCCATCTCTGCTTGCTGCTCGAAACTTTGATGCGCCTCAAGGCCCTCGCGGCTTCCCGTCGATTATCGGTGCCTGATACGAGTCCTGCCCATCTGCTGCGGCGTCAGCCTCGTTATTCACGGATTGAGCTTGTGCACATGAAGCATCGGCGAAACATACCTATTCTATTGTATGCGGCAGACTGTATCGTCGTCCGGGTCGTTGGGAATATGACGCGCCTCGAGATCAGCACGGTATGTGGTTGAAGGTCGGTCGGGAGTGGAGTAACAGGGGTATGGGTTAGGCTGTGCTGGGCGGAAGAGAGCACAAGAGAGAGAGTTGACTTTGACCTCACAAGTGTTATGAAGGGACGTCGGCAGGTCGGGAGAATGGGAAATCGTGGGGCACGCTTAGCGAGATCTCGGCAGAACGTCATCTGTCTTTGAAGATGACTATGTTGACTCTGCGATACTTGATATCTGCCAAAACTATGTTATTAGTTATTTTTCTGCTGACTGAATATGTTTGCGATGACTTGGAGCACAGCTATTATCTCGTATTAGCTTCTGCAGATGCGTACACCGATTCACCAGAGGTGTTGAAAGTCACCTCCTGGATGTGAACAACGACTCGATATCAAAGAGGGAAATTAGATCTTGATTCGAGTTTGGTTCAATATAAAGACTCAAAATTGCTAACTCAATTTGCTGATGTCAGCTTGCTTTTTGTATCGATTGTCCAGAAGGAAGTCCATGCCTCTATCAAACGCCCAGCGAATGCAACCACAGCCCTCCCGTAGCCCTTCCATAGCCCTTCCATAGCCCTTCCATAGCACCTCCTCCTCCTCCTTCTCCTTCTTGCAAGAAACCCCAATCACTTAGACGCTGCCTTCTCATATTGCCCCCCAAACGCCTCATACCACTTATCCACGACCTCCACACTACTCCCGGCCCCAATCGTCTCCTTCCCCTCCTCAAACCCCCTCCGCACGTATTCCATAAACTCCCCCACCTCCAGACTCTCCGGATTCTTACTCTTCTTGTTATCATCCGGATCCTCCCTTTCCCGATGCAAGTTCGTCGCCACAGTCGGCGGCGCAATCTCCACCACCTTGATCCCCTTCCCCCTCCCATCCTTCGCAAGCTGTGTCCTCAGATTCATCGTCCAGAAATGCAGCCACGCTTTCGTACCATTATACACCGGGTTGATGATCGAGAAGGGGATGTATCCGAGTACACTCGACACGTTGACGATAGTCGCCGCCTCCTTGCTCTTGAAGTGCTCCAAGAACCCCATCGTCAGATGCATAGGCCCGCGGATATTAATGTCAATCTCCTGATCCGCTTTCTGCAGGTCGAAATCGTTGACATCCAGCGGTCTCTGTACGCCAGCGTTGTTGATCAGGCAATCCACTTCAGGCCTCTCCTCGATGACTTTCTGGCAGAAGGTTGGGATGGCAGAGACGTTGCCGGTGTCGAGGACGTAGTACTTTGTATCGTGTCCAAGATCTTGGGCTGCTTGGGCGAGCGTCTTCTCGGTGCGGCCGACGATAATGACTTTCTTGTTAAGGGAGATGAGGTATTTGGACATCTCGAAGCCGATGCCACCGCCGCCGCCCGTAATGAGGGCACATTTGAAGGAGAGGGTTTTGGCTGCCATTTTAACGTATCTGCTTGAGGTTTATTGAAGATGTTTGTAACCCGAAAGCATTAGAGAAAGCAAGCAGGATATGTGAAGCTTTTAATGACTTCTCTAAATTCTGACGTCAGAGGAAAGCATGCCACTTCGGGTTTTCTAGGATTGCCACCGGAGACAAGAAGGATTCAGGGACAGTAGATAGCAACTTCAGAGGCGCTCACATGGTTACTTACAGGTACTCACGGTTGTGGAATACAGCTATTGAATGGGGATTTTATATTTGTATTCTATGAAGTGTGGGGGGGGGGGGACTTTTAATATCAAGATGCCACCTTTAAAGGACCTAGGCGACCATCCGAACGCAACCCACCCTTCGCAGAACCATCTTTTTGAATGAGCAAAGCACACCTTTGTATCAGATCCTCCAAGACGAGGAACGGCGAGCCATCCAGGTGCAAATTGAGAAGCCACGAGTCATAGTATCGAATGACCAGGAAGAGCCAACTCGAATACGCCAACTCCTTTGTGCTGTGAGCCTATCGAATGCGTAAAGAAACGGGTTGGTGATGGAAGTTCTTGTCGGTGATCGATGAAAAAGGTGCTTGGTGTTTAGCAAAAGCGAAATAGCAAAATGTAGAAACAAGGGGGCCATTGATGACTAAGAGAAAGCTGCAAATATCCCAGATCCGTAGTTCAAAGTTGATCGGAGTGATCGAGAATGATTAGATGCCGAGCGAACTTCTGTAGTCCGTCTTATTGAAAGAGTAAACCAGTAAATTAGTGAAATAAGCAAGTGAAGAACCGGTCGGATCTTTATCCTTCCCTGCAGCCGTAGAAGAGGATGCAAGTAAGAGACGCTTGTAACGCATCGAGACGCGAACCATGTTTGGCAACTGCTATCCTATCAATGACCTAGAAAGGGCAAAGAAAAGCTTTGTTTGTCTGACCGGATCATGAACTAAGCCATCGTCAAGACGTTGGCTCTGTGCAGATTCTTTGCCCGGATCGTAGTACCTCTGTCATCACGCATAGTGACGACGGGGGTAATGACCAACTTGAGTCGGACTTGCTTGATCTGCAAAGTCATTGGATCGACGTAATGCTTGTCCTTGGAAATCATAGTAGCAGCACTGAACTTCTGGGCAGTCTCCGGGAAGTACACCTGAAACGTAAGCTTGGAAGAATTGATGCTCACGGAGATTTCCCAAGCCTTGATAATGATAGCACCTAGGTCTCCTCCAGCGACAGAACGCAGGGAGTTGTTGTCGAGCATTGGGCCGAGTATCTCGCGAAGAGCCTTACTATGGGTAGCAAGTTGAGATTTGCGGAAGAGATCCCAGGTCGGGCCTTTAACGACACGCTGGATGATTGCTGCACGCTGGTCGACGAGAGATTGGCGAGCCTCAATGGCCAGACCTGCAAGGATATTTTAGCAAATCAAATAGAGAGGGCGTATAGTTGCTTACCTCGCTCTGCAATTCTGGTCTTGACTTTCTCAAGTGCGGTATCTACATCTTGGCTGAACAACTTGTAGGGAGCAAGAGACAAGATCTCCTCAACGATATAAGACACTGCCATTCTCATAACGAACCAAGGTCTCGAGGCAGTGTCATTCAAAAGGGTCATCGTATGGGTATGCGCATCCTGCCTTTGGCCAGGGTATGTGCAATTCATCATAAAGGCCCAAAGGACCTGGTTGCTTCTGGCGATCTCCTGGTCATTCTCAAGGTTTGGAGAATGACAATGCGAGCCGACCCAGTTCTCTACCATCGCATAGAGCTCTGAAAACTGTTCCTGGTAAAACGTTGAAGGGTCCTTTGGATTTACATGAAGGACCAGACTGCTGGAGAGATTCTGAACAGGACACGTGGAGGGTTCAGCAGAGGGAGCAGTAGGGGAAGCAGGAGCAGGGGTCGCCATAGATCGGGACCAGGTGATGGAATCTGCCCCAGTATGAGTTGTAATTCTTTTCGATGTCAATGACGGCCCGGGAAGGAAAAGGCAGCGATCTTTTGGTGCAGGACCGGAGGGCATGGCTGTAAGGCGGCGACGCGGTGCTATAAGACCATCGGTTCTGTAGGTTTGACCAATCGAAGCGCTACTTTCTGGGAGCCTGTAGCTCATTGAAGGAAGCTCAGCAGAACCAAAGCCGTCACCCATGAGACCAGTAATCTTCGGCGTCGTGGAAGGCGGAGTCAGCTTATCTGTGGCCTTGATGGTACCACTGGCCCTCCTTAGCTGGTGACCGTGGAAGGATCGCTGAGCTACAACTGGTGAAGTGACAGTATTCTCGAGAGCACTAGCTATGGCGTCTCGTTCGGGGCTGGCACCAGGGTTCACAAGAAGCCAGAGAGCACGCTTGCCTTCGAGTTGCTCATCTTGCTGCTGAATCTTTTTGAGAGCAGCAGCATTCTTGTTGGCCCAGTGGTTTACAAGCTCATTGAGCCTATCGATACTCTTCTGGTACTCCAACGACGATTGCTCCGAGGAACGGCGCATTTTTTCTCTCTCCTCTCCGAATTGATCGCGATCAGCATATGCTCTGGTGAGGTTGGCGGACATGATGTTGAGCTGATTGAGATTCATGTCTCTCTCAAAGACAACTTTATTGAAGTGTGCCTGCAGTTGTACTTGTTGTTGGCCATACTCCAGACCAAGGTCGCGCACGTCCCGAACTAATGTCGCCTGCATCTCGGTGTTTATGCCATCGCTCCTATCAATCTTCTTAATGAGGTCGGAGATCTTGGCCTGGTACCGAGTGGAAGCTTCATTGATAATTTCGAGCTATCACGTTATTAGCAGATCGGAACCCATATTATTTCCAAGCAGAATAGATAGCCGTGACTCACCTGTTGAGCCATCATTGTAGATTGTCGTTGGACTTGGCTGATTGGGTCGTGCTATTATTTAGTTAGCGACAGTGAGACGTAGTCTGCAACAGAGGGAATGGGTACTTACTTGGCTCAAATAAGGCGTATATTGACCTTGACCTTGGTTCTGGCTGTTGGACTGGAAGGGTGGGACCTTGGGATCTAGGCGGCCAGAGAATGATGAACGAGCTTGAACATTCCCAGGGTTTTGCTTATTCGAGCCCATGCTGTCTCTGCCGTGTTGGGAACCTTGGGGCAGATTGCTTGCGGAGCTACCCTTCGGATTGTTGCTGCCACCACTGCGCTGGTTACCTTGACTACCTTGGCTGATGTTCATGTTCATATTGTTGAGATCGTTGGTGAGAGATCGATTCTTGCTTTGAGTGGTCGGGGAGTGATAGTCTGCTGCTGTGTTTCCGGATCTAACTCTAGCACTTCTGCCAGTGCTATCGAGCACCTTCATTGAACCCGATGAGGGATGAGGCTCAGGGCGAGACTTGGCTGAAATTGCGCAAGTATCCCGATAGGATAAAGGAGAGAGGTGTAGGGTGTTGTGAGCTTGTGAACATGTGAATACGCTTTGTTTAGATTACGCCTGATCTCGCGCTCTGCACAATCGAGACGATCTTCGGACGAGAACCTAAGACCCAGCAGGAATTACACCGACTGCGAAGGCTCCCGTCGTGACAAAGATTAAGAGTAGTTCTGCGGAGAGACACTGAGTGTGCTGATTGTGGAGGAAAGGAGGTGTTTGAGGAAAGGAGGTGATGGAGGAAAGGAGGTGGTGGAAGAATAGAGGTGGTCGGAGTATTTAAGTAGCTAGAGGCAAAAACTTTTCCTCGCTAGCCACGTTTTGTCATTCAATGTGAGCCCCTCCGTCTGGACGGGAACTCTAGTAGCAGGCTTTCAGCTCAGCCTTAGGCAAAGACTCAAGGTGAATAGCCGCAGTATGGAAGTGACTCGGCTTGTAGTAAAGCAGGAGTCTTCTGGAGGAACGGGCTAAACTCCGGACCACAATATGATCCTGATACCCAGCAGTGAATCTCTTTGGGCATATCGTATGCCGTAGGAGGATGAGTATAGACAAAAACATCCCTGCGTTCATAGCAAGGGCTGACACGGATCAAAGAAAGCATAGAACATACTCGATGACTCCATCGAGCAAGCTTCCGATCAAACCAATCAGCACTCTTCTCGTCTAAGGCTGCCTGCGAGGTCTTGCAATATAAAAAGAGCAGCTTTCCAGCTAGTTCCAACTATATAAAAGTACAGTACGGATAAGCAAGAAATCGTTTGTATTCGAACCACAGCGAGGTATCTGCCACAAGAGGCCTCGGGCTCTAAGTGCTCTTCTTGAATTCACTGCAAGCTTCCCAAGGTGTTCCTTCTCAGGGCTTTGAAGTGAAACCGGCATCTGCAGAGCAAGGCCGCGGCGATCCTAACAATGTGTTCTCACATCCTGAACGGCAGGGAGCAGGCACGCTTGCTTCTGCTTGAAGGCTGCATCAAAGCCACAGGTTTGGATCTATCTCCTCTGCCCCCGCTCTAGCATGTTGCTGATACTCGAACTTCTAAGCATATGAAAGCAGATCAGAACATCGGGCAATAAGCATAGTTGGCAGCAACAACGACGACAACGAAGATGAAGACCATCTCTACGATACCAGATGAGAAGCGTCGAATATTCGGGAGTCATCTCGGGTTGGTGACACGACTGACATGACATTTCTACAGAATGAATCTTCCGTGAAAGCAAATCCAAGGAAAGCGCCGCTAAGGGACAAATTTCAAAATCGACAGATAAAATCCTGGCAAGCATAGATGGTCAAACAATACTATGGCTGCAAGGAGATACACTATATAGCCTCAGTTGAACAAGCGTCAAGGGGTACTGAGCTCAGGAACAATCGCAGAATCATACGCGTACATGTACCAGGTTTGAGGGATTGGAGCACCTGACGTTGGGAAATAGCAGCTGGAAGCTGATGAGGCTGAGGGAACCAAGCCCGGCACGTCAAATCATTCGAATTCCCAGATAAAAGCCCTGCTAATGGCAGTAATGCAAGGTCAAGCAGCAAACTATGCACTCAGTCATTGGTACAAAGGAGACACCCGTCTGACTGGAAAGAAGACTAGGATACTTCCCAGTCCTCTCTAATTGTTGCTCTTAGACCCATATGTAATGAATGGCCATTTATATATGCAGGATCTCAAAGCTAGGGAGCCTTTGCAGCACTTCTGCTGCAGCCCCTTTGGTAGCTATTTTGCGTGCAATAGCACTCCAATCTGAAGACTCCATGTCCAGGAGTCCTACAGATGCCCTGAAAATGCAAACAGAGCTCAATGAAAACATCCCCTCCTTCAATTGTTCCACTTAGACGGATACTGGACGCTGGTCTAGATACCATAGACACTGGTCCCCTCAATCTGCTCTTCAATTCAGCAGCCAGCTCAATATGCAACAGCTCAACCTCTTAGGCTGGAGAATATTCCCTTTATCCAACCAATGTTTCCCTATCGCGTTGTATGTATACCGCAGACACTTGTCTCGTCTTCCTCGTCCTCTATCTCTATCTTAGGCAACAGATCAGCCTGCACCGTCCCTGCACCCACTTGGTCTCAATCCATTGCCCAATGTGTACACACCCTCAGGCGTCATCTCCTGCATAAATTCTCTCATTCATCATCTTTTGAAGTGTAGAGATTTCAACTGTCAAGCAAACAACAAATAGCCGCATCCTCGGTTAGCAATCTTGACACATGTACGGAGCACAATATGCCGCCGCAACGAGGACATGACTCACAGGATCCATTATAGCATTGCTAGCCGTCTGCGATCAAGATAAAAGGATAATGGTAATACTTATAGGAGTCTCGCAACTTTGAAGGCCTTCCCTCTAGAATTGAGGTCAAATCCTATTATCAACGACGTCTTGAGGTCTGGATAAGATAGGACCGAAGATAGCCCGGGATGCGAGAGCCTCTCCCGTTTTCATGCAGGATGTGGTCGTGAGTAATGGTGGGAGTTGACCTCACCTTAAAGTTGTGAAGTCAACCCCCACTATTACATCCTAGAACCTGTACGCACGAGGCGGCGCTATGGAAACTTCATTGATGTTTTCGATTTTGAGTGTTACAAAGTTATATTAGTTAATGAACAACTAATGCCATGAATCACCGTTTTCGATAATTTATCTAATCAATCCACCTACTCAGCGATCACTTCAATAACCAATTGAATTATCATGCTTTTAAGATAGAGGCATCAATCTCAGCAAACAGATAGTGTTAATAGTAGAGTGTAAATAATAGCCTTGGTAACTCGTTGCCTGCCATATTAAGCTATCTCCATTCTCAAACTGAATCCCAAATAAATATGCCAAAAACCAATACGCAAAGCCGCAATGTGATACCTCCATATTTCTCCCTGCCCAGGAAAGAGAGAGGGAAAATAGAGAGTCGATACTAGTACCCAATTCACCTACGTATCGATCCCGAACCATTAATTCTTAATCCGTTACGAAGTAAATATTCATGAGAAAGCTCAAAAGCCGCCTACCTATCTACCTACCTACCTTATACCACCACCATTCCCAAAAAGAACCCAGCCAATCTCCAAAAGAGAGAGAGGGAGAGAGCACAAAAATGAGATTCTACACTCCACACTCTTAAATCTCTCTTCTCCGTCAACACCCACCAACCCGTCTCCCATCCCATCCCGTCTCTCACCAAAGAAACCCAAAAACCATCTACGTAGAAGACATTCACCTACCTACCTTAGCGGAGCAAGCCGAGATTTTAAAACCGTGTAGCGAACCGTGTAGCAGGTCTATACGGTTGGCTATTATCTTTCAAAACAGCTCGGTTGATAAATTTTAAACCGTGTATATATTTAAACCGTATAGAAATTTCAAACGTATAAAATTTTTAAACCGTGTAGAGATTTTCAACCGTATAGAAATTTTAAACCGTATAGATATTTTTAAACCGTGTAGATATTTTTAAATCGTATAAAAGGAGTTAAGCGAAAGCTGCGCTTAAAAGGTTAATCTAGGCGGGGTTATTAATATGATTATGCGCTAAGCTACTACATCTAATAAAAGCAAGTCTGAATTCAATTGGTGAAAGCTATTTACTATTACTTTTACTTTTACTTTTACTTCTACTTTTACTTTTACTTCTACTTTTACTTTTACTTTTGCTATCGACGAGCGCTTACAAAGTAAGATTATACGCGCTAAAATACGTCTTTCTATTTATACTTATGTACGCAGTTTTGCTCTTTCCAAATCATTTAAAACTGATCTTTTATGCTTTAATATAGCAAGTCGCAGTAGTAAAAGAGTAATAAAAGTAAGAACTATAATTCTAAAAGTCAATATAACAATCAAAATAAGTAGCACGTATTTTACGACTTATTTAGCTTATAAGAATACAATTGTAATCTAAGTCATTCAAATAAGTAAGCTTTTAACCTTAATTATATACATTTTGCGTGCCTTAACGCTAAGAAAGCTAATAAGATCGTAAGAATCCTTTAAGGTTAATTAAAGGAAGTCGAGCAAGATATCCCGCTTAAGTGATACCGTAACGAAGCGAATTCGTAAAAAGATTAATTTAATATTAAAGAGTTAATAAACAAATAGACCTTTTATACGCGCAAATTGATTAGCTTTTATAATCGGATTCGTATACTCGATAAAGTCATTAGCTGCGAATACGATACAACGTTGCGAAGCCTTAAAGAATGCTTAAAGTTAACGGTGTAATAAATAAAGAAGTAATAAGCAATAAAAAAGCAAGAAAAACACAGCTTTACAAAAGTGTAAGCTTTCGGAGTACTAGTGCAGCTAATAAATTATAATTAAAAGCTAATAAGAGAATAAAGAAAGATGATATAAATAGAATCTTAATAAATAAATAATTAATATTTCGACCGATTCTCGAGAAAATTAAATAGAAAAAAAAAAGAGTTATAAAAAAGAAAATGAAAAGGAAGATGTGCGAATTTAAAAGAATTCTATCGAAAGACAACGTACTTATTAATAAAGCTGATCTTCTTAACTTATTGCAAACTAACTTTCTCGTAATACAAGACTTCAAAGCTATTGTAATATTCGTTATAAGCACGTATAAAAGCTGTCTTAAAAATAGCGTTTATTTTTTTAAGCCGTAAAAAAAAGCTAAAAGTGTTTCGGACGTATTTAAATAGCAAGCAACCGATCGCGGAAAGTCGAAAGTAAAAGCTATCAGCTTAAAGCTTAATTGTTAGCTTATCGTTATCAGCTTCGTTAATAATTTCAATTGCTAAGATGTCTTCGATTTCAAAGCGTAGCATAAAGCTTGCGAATAATAATAAACATAACCGATAAAGACTTTAAATTATTTAAGTTAACTTCGGATTAATTACTTGATAAGCGTTTATAATAATTAAGCGTAAAGTCAACTTTTAAGCTTCTTTCT